GGAGACTAATGAAGATGCTTTCTTCAGCGCTTATAAATTGGATTTTGAAGACCAAGATAGCCTAAGACATGCAAAAGTGGGAAGGCTATCGCGGGAAAGCTCCATTGGTAGTGTTATAGGGAAAAAAGCATTTGATCATGCATCCAACAATATTCCTATTCCATCATCTGCTTTATGGTTAACATTTGAATGCCTGAGGGCTATCGAAAATTGGTTGGTAATGGATAACGCGGTTGGCCCTTTCAGTATCTTGTCTTCAAAATCAAAAAATGTCTCTGGGAATAATTTTTTGGCTTTGAAAAGAAAGCAGTCTAAATTTAGAAGAGGCAGACCCATTTTTAAATCGTTCACTTCATCTAATAGTAAGCTTAAAATTTCAAGTGAAGTTTTTAGTAAACGATATTCTTCACCATCCCGTGGTGGTTTTAACATTGGTATAGGATTGGAGTGCGGCCGACCAATTGGACAAGAAGCTGAACCTAGAGGTTCTGATGACAGTATGTTGGATGGAGAAAGTTCCACTGAGCTTGAAGGCTTCCAAGTTCTGAGTTTTTCAGATTGGCCTGATGTTATGTATGACATTAGTTCACAGGGCATCTCAGTCCATGTTCCGTTGCACCGGTTACTTTCGATGGTTCTGCAGAGAGCATTCAAACAATGTTATGGTGAATCAGCGTCTTTGGATATGATGAACGCCAGGTCCACTGATAGGTCATCTTCTATATATAATGACTTCCTTGGACACATTTTAGGAGGTTGCCATCCTTGTGGATTTTCTGCCTATGTAATGGAGCATCCCCTTCGAATAAGGGTGTTTTGTGCCGAGGTTCATGCTGGAATGTGGCGTAGGAATGGGGATGTTCCCATGATATCTAGTGAGTGGTATCGTACAGTTCGCGGGTATGGGAATCTCTATTATGTATCGGTTCATTGAAAGCTCCACTTTTACAGTTATTTTGTGAATTTGTTATGGTCTCAGAACTCCTCCTTTTCAACATGTCTGTGCAGGTCTGAAAAGGGTCAATAGCTTGATCTTTTCTTGCTGCAGTGTTGTGCTGCATTAGCTCCAGCCGATCTTTATGTCAAGAGAATTTTAGAACGTTTTGGACTATCAAACTATCTGTCATTGAATCTTAATCCGTCCAGTGAGTATGTAATTTTCTTTTTGCCTTCTT